GCCTTAAAGATATAGTTGAATCAAATGAATATTTTTTCTTTGTTTTTTTTTTTCTTTATTGATTTTTAGAGAGAGAGGAAGGGAGAGGGAGAAACATCGATGAAAGAGAACATTTATGGGCCGCCTCCTGCATGCCCCCCAATGGGCCTACAACCTGGGCATGTGCCCTGACCGGGAATTGTACCAGCGATGTCTTGGTGCACGGGTCAGTGTTCAACCACTGAGCCACACCAGCCAGGCTCAAACAGATATTTTAACCTAATGTAATTCAAAGTAGTGAAGGAAAAGAAAGCAGGCAAAGATGCAAAGATCAGGGGCAAATAAAGGGGCCAGGTGTCAAGGCATAGAACTCACTACGGTGTGGGGCAAAAGTAGGTTTACAGTTGTTTGCATGGAAAACAATACAATAATAAATAATAATACAAGAATAAACTGTTCTGTGTACTCACAACTATAAATCTACTTTTGCCCTACCTTGTATTTGCACCTCTTTCTCAGCCTGTGCCTTAAAAGATGGGAAGAATATGTTACAAATTATTAATCAATGAGAGGAAATGTCAAAGATGCATAGCCATATTAAAACTTAATGCCCCAGCAGACCATTCATGATCATCTAAAACTGAACTAAAGTTATGCTTGGTTTTGCAAGGTAACAGCAAAATGAGTTTATGAATTATGTATATAAATACCTATATGACCTTCTCAGTCAGTGGCTTTCAAGTGGCCTTCTATTAGCTATCTCTTAAAATTTTTAAATAATTTTTAAGAAGTTTACCAAAAAAAAAAAAAAGAATTCTTGAGCATCACTCCAGGCTTAACTGAATCAGAACCACTAGAGGTAAGACCTGTTTCTTCCACTCCCCACACCCTTCAACACACACAAATATCCCATCCACTGAGGACTTCATAAGGTTCCAACATAGCCAGTCTAGCCATGGATGTTTGACATTATAGGGCTTATCGTAACTAGGTGCAGTGTGTGTGTGTGTGTGTGTGTGTGTGTGTGATAGAATCACCTCATGCCTAGGATCTTATATATCCAGTCCAGTGGTTCTCAGCCTAGGCTGTACATTATAATGACCTGGAAAGCTTTATAAATCTTGTTGCTCAAGCTTCTTCTCAGAGCAATTACATCAGAATCACCAAGCATGACACCCAACTATTTGTAATTTTTCAAGCTCCCCGGATGATTGCAACATGCAGTTAAGTTTGAGACTGCTGATGTGTAGATAATTCCTTGTTTTTTACTGCATCGTTTCTAATACACAGTTACATAGCTCAAAACCTAGAACCCTGCCTGGGGGGTATGCAGGCCAACCACAAACACCCCACTTGCATGGAACAAAAGCAAAGGTGACTAATTGGGGCTACATTATAACAATTCCTGTTTGTTAACTTCATGTCTGTTATGTTACTATCTCAAAAACAAAAATTAAAATGAAACAAGCAAACCCAAACCTGTGCAATGTACATATCATTATGCAAATCTGTAGAGACAAGGAGGTATGGCCGCTGATTCAGAGGGAGCTGCCCCCACGTGAAATGTGGACCCAAGTCTGAGTGACGCCAAAGCCCGCGATGTCTACACCATATCGGTGACTCTCAGAGTGTGGTCCCCAGACCAGCAGCACCAGCGTCACCTGAGAACTTATGAAAAGGGCAGATTCCCTGCCCCAGCCTCAGACCTGCTAAATCATAAGCTTTTGGGCTGGGACCCAGAAATCTGTGTTTTAACAAATCTATCAGATGATTCTGAGACACACTAATGGCTGAGAAAAACTGTATTATAGACTTTATTTCTATCAGATGACTACTTTTGGAGACTCAGTTCAGCATGTGGTAAGAGAAGTAAAAATTGGCCCTGGCCGGTTTGGCTCAGCGGTTGGAGCGTCGGCCTGCGGTCCAGAGAGACCCAGGTTTGGTTCCCGCTAAGGGCATGTACCTCGGTTGCAGTTTGTCCCCGGCCCTGGTTGGGTCGTGCAGGTGGCAGCCACTTGATGTGTCCCTTTCACCTCGATGTGTGTGTGTGTGTCTCTCTCTCCCTCTCTCTCCCTCCCACTCTGTCTGAACAAAAAATGGAAAAGTGTCCTCAGGTGAGGATAAAAAAAAAAAAGAGAGAGAGAGAAGTAAAAATTGGGGGTGACTCAGTAGGTAAGATGGGGTGAGGAGCTGAGAAACTCTCACTACCTTCTTTTTCTTCCATGTTCCATGCATGTTAATAATCTATGCGAGAGATGAGGAAACGCTACCACATACACAGCGCTGGAGAAAGTCCGGGGACTCGGGGTCTGACCCGAAAGGTGTCCTGCCATGTGATTAAGCCGCTTCCTTGAGGACTATTTGAAGATGTTGGTGAATAGTTTATCCTTTTAATCAACATATGGGGAGGTTTAAAAGGTTGTGCTTTGTTAATTGGTTCCAGGAAAATGAGTTTTTGAACTTAAGGGCTTGGACGAGTGGTGTCAGGAAGCCACGGCAGCGGTTTGCGGGCCCTGACGCGCGGCCGGTCCGGTTGCTGCCGCCCTACGAGCGGAGGGCTGCGGACCTGCGTCCCGCCTTGCTGGCTGTCTTAGGGCAGTGTTCTCACCGGGCTGTATGGTTGACTAGAGGAAATCAACAAACATTAAACGACCACTCTTGTTTGGTGTATCAGAGACATTGATTAATTTTTTCTGAGCAGACTGTGAAATCATTTCATTTAAAGATGTAAAATATGTTCAGACGTATAAAGGTCTGATGAATATTTGTCTCATGGGGCAGGCTTGTGGGGGGGCAGAGAAAACAAGGGAGAAGGAAGAGAACAAATAGAGAAAGAGGACAAAAGAGAAAGAGTAAAAGAAAGGGACAGGAATTGAGAGAGGAAGAGACAGGAAGGAAAGAGGAAGAAGAGAATAGAGAAATGGAGAAAGGGGGGGGGAAGTTGGGAAAAGAGGTAGGAGAGGAGAAAAGGGAAAACAGAAAACAAGTAAGCAAAGAAAAAAGAAATAAAAGAAATCAATGAATGCAGACTTTGGAGACTAGGAGATATTTTGAGAAGCGCAACTTGGATAACACATGCTGCAGAGATGCTGGCTTCTAAGGTCACAGATGGCAGTAATCATCATTCTAATTTGCAACAAATAGGTGAAAGGCACCAGACCCCACATGGAGAGACGTAGCCATGTAGTGACGGCAGTGGAGTAATAATGTAGCAGCCATCCAGGAATACAGGGGTGCTGGGATGTTGGATTAAGTTCTCCTTTATTCAATAACCATTTAGTATTTGATGCACAATCCAATGTTAAAAAAAAATGTGTTTGCTTATTACAAGATCTTTAAATTAGCGCAAGGACGTTGAGATGTTCACAGGAATGCCTTTGAAGTTCTATTCTGTAACCTTAGCCTTTCCTTAGCATCTATGTTGGGCCAAGACTTAGTCTTTATCGCCTCCGCTCCTTCCCCTCCTTGCCACTCAGGGTTTTGCTGCTGCCAGTGGTCAGTGCAGTTCTTTCATTGTAAGTCTTGCTCTCTCTAAGGTCTGCATTCTAGCAGTATAAGCATAACTAATAGTTCTCTAAAACCCCTTTCTCTTCATGCATGCTTATTTCTGTGTCATCAGGATGCATCACACATCAAAATCACCTTTAATAAGAGTCCTGTGTCTGTGTAGTGAACATCCATCTATCCATCTCCATTACATCTCCTCCCTCTTTACCCTAACAGCCCACAAAGGTCTGAGTGTTAGCAGAAAACCAGGTTTTGGAGGAGTAATGGGGGGGGATATTTAGAAACCCCAGGCAAGGAGCGTGGTGAGGAGCAGACATGGGAAAGAGACAGAGCACACAGAGTCAGACAGATGGTGGAAGGTTATGTGCAATATTCATGAGGGAACCCAAAAAATATATTCTGAAAACTCAACTAGACTTACCAGTTGTCTGAGTAAACATTTTGTGGATATCAAAGTAGGGGCAGAGTTTCTCATCTGGCCTGCATAAGGTTGGACACAGGTGCTATTTGCCATGGTCAGATTTGAAGAGGCTGGAATTAGCAGAGATCTTTGGACACTATAGACTTCCATGGGCCTTGGAAATTGGGTGTCTTTGGGGGTGGGTTTGGGAGAAATCAAAGCAATTTAATTTGGATCTCAAGCGACCCCAGTAGCCACTATGGTTTACATATGTGTAAGAACATAATACATGGTGGGCTGTGGGTACCATCTGATGCTTGGCCACAACCACTAATACTTTAAAAGATGAATTGCTATCAAATAGATTCATGACAGCAAGTGTTCTCTCTTTATTTAGACCATAAGCTCCTCGAGGACAGAAGCATATCTCCTCTGGCTTTTGAATACCTGCAATATCTTGCTTAATACTGAGCACATACCCAGAATTCAATAAAAGCATGTGCCTGAAAGATTGCCTGGACCACTCACTGTCACTCAGCCTTGCCCTTTGGTGTACATGGTCTACCACTCCTTTTGAAGATGATTCACAGAGTAAGGAGCAGCATAGTCACACCTGGATCACAGATAAGCGGATACAGTGGCTACCTACAGGCACCTGTGGCCTAGCGTCATCAGCAGCATGGTCTTTTAGAGACTATCACACTTATGCTGACTTTTCCCCAATGCTAGGAATGGATTTCCTTGATGCACCCCGACTTATTTCCAAGTTTCAAGTCAAGCATCAGACTACAGTTTAAAAATGAAGAGACAATCAGCTTATTGAAATGATGTCATCATAGCTGCAAAAGAAAAAAAACCCCAAGTAAGAACTGAATTGAGTAAACCTTTCTCCTTTGCTCATCCTTGTTTAAAGTGTACCTACAATGGATGGGCATCGGTGTGCCCAGGTGAGTCAGCGTCCCAACGTTATGACAATATTCCCCTCGAGGAAAGATTGGTATGAAACGTGCAGAGGGTGGAACTTTCCCAGAACTGCGTGTCTTCCCCACTTCGTCTCCCTGCTCGTGCTCCTCTGCGAACGGGCTGAAGGTAAAATGGAAAAGGAAGTTCTTACGTTCTTAAATCCTCTGTAGAGAATCTGGAGCTCCTTCTTGGTGAATTTGCTCTGGGCTTCCAGAAGCTCAAGGGCTTCAGGCCGATGCCTGACGGTGGCCATCTCCAGCTCATCTTCCACGCTGTCTGTGGAGGAAAACCAGGCAGCGCCTTAGGAACAGTCACAGCTCCCCAACATTTATACACAGGAAAACAGAAAGAACTTTCTTTAGCTGTCTATTATTTTTTCCATAGGAGTGATTCTCACACTGCCAATCAATATTTGTCTTTCCCAGAGTTTAAAGTATTAAACCAAGCGAATTCTACATAATAGTTTTTCATATTTTCTAGTCATTAGACATTACAATACTAACATTTCCTAGTACGGTTACAAAAGTAAAAAAAAAATCACAGAAAACTTAAAACCTTGAATTTGTGCACATATACCAAGACCCAGTTAAAAAAAATAGGATTTTAGTTTACTAACATCAATATCACCCTTATATCATGCATCTATGAGATAGGACTTTGCTAATACTCAACAAGGATTCTTCTAAAATAAAGTATTTCACCAGGGGCTGCAAATAAAGTAGTCAGATCGGGCGAGTAAAATCAGTTGCCAGTTTGACTGGCATAACCCCAGTCTTCATGGGCTCACAGTGGATGGACCAGGGTCTAGGGGAACTTCTGGGCAGAACCTATTTTGCAGCCAAGGAAATCCATAGCTACAGATAAATTATAAAATAGTGCACTTTACTTTGTGAATTACATTTTTACTATATTTCTCTAAGATGCTCTATGCAAAATAATTTTCAGTTCATGTACATTTAAGAAATGAAGACCCTTACATAGTTTGGGAGAAAACACAGTAAAAAATTCTGAGGGAACTTGCAGCAAAGAATTCTGTTTAGATTTGTTTAACCTAATTAACCCCAAGGGGTATTTGTCCATAGAATCCTTCCTCCCCACAAGTAACATCTGGTGACATCTGCATATTTGCTCAGGGTCATGTAGAACACACACTGGGAGGTGTTGGGATATATTTGGATCTGGGTATTTGGGTCTCAAAGCACAACCTCCTTAATGAGGTCCAGCTCTTTGCAGTGGGGCCCAGTGGAGGCCTAAGGAATCTTCCTGCCATAGTTCAGCACAAACCTCAGCTAAGGAACTGGTCAGGGGCAGGAGCCTCCAGGCCCAGTCCTGGGGCTATGGCTTCCCTCCGTTATAGCTCTTCCTGAGCTGGGCTACAGAGTCCCAGCTCAGAGGGGTGAAGTGCAGAGGACAGTTCTTTCTCATCAACTCTGGACCCAGGACCACCAGCACCCAAGTCCACATTTCATGGGTCAGTTGGAAATGTAGTCATTTTTGACTACAAAAGTCACATCATTTCTTATACTTAATAATACTGCCTCTCTGGTGATTACCAGAGGGAATGGGGTGCGGGGGCAGCTAGAAGATGATATAGGGGGGATAAATGGTGGTGGAAAGAGACTGGACTTGGGGTGGCAAACACACAGTACAATACGCAGATGATGCATCACAGAATTGCACACCTGATGTAATTAAAAACTTTTCTTTATTGATTTTGGAGAGAGAGGAAGAGAAAGGGAGAGAGAGACAGAAACATCGATGAGAGAGAACATCAATTGGCTGCCTCCTGCATGCCCCCCACTAGAGATTTGGCCCACAACCTGGGCATATGCCCTGACCAGAAATTGAACCGGCGACCTCTTGGTGCATGGGTCGATGCTCAACCACTGAGCCACACCGGCCAGGCCATCTGATATAATTTTATTAACCAATGTTACTCCAATAAAATTAATTAAAAAACAAAAAGTGCTGCCTGTCACTAACATCTGTCCCTGCGCGCTGCCCTGTCTCACCGAGGCCAGTGCGGAGTCAGAGGCCTCACTTTGCAGGGGAACCAGGGTAGTGGAGGTCATCTGGGCAGGTCCTCGTCACTGCTCTCGACGCTTTTACGAAAGACCAGTGACGGCGAGGGAACCAGTGCTTGGAATGGTTGAGCTTGTCAAAATGAAAAAGAGGAGCCAAAAGCAAATATTTGTTCTGTACTTTTCATATCAACATAATTTATTTTGCAACAGTGATCTGGAAAAGCAGCAGAATCGTGATTGATGGGTAAGAATAATAACAGGGACATGAAGAGATGGGAAGACCAAGAGTAAACTCGGAGCTGACAGGGATAAAATTGATGGGCACTTGCTGGTTTGCCTCTGAGGGAGGTGAAGAGAGAGAAAGCCAGTCAAAGTCAGCGAGGCATTAACAGCTTGACCTCAGGCCAGGCTCCAGGAGGAAACTCAAGAACACCCAAACGGGCTCCTTCAAGTTCTCCTTGGTTCATTGCAGCGAATACGTTGATTCTACTCAATGGGTCCTGAGAGAGAGAATGGAGAAAGAGGGTTCTTTCTACGACGGCGGGAATCCGACGACTTGAGCTCGTTATTGTACTTGCCAATGCAGAAACCAGTTCCACAGGACAGATCCAACATCATCAGTCACAAACAGAAAGACTCTGCTTTCTCAAAAACTCTCCTGATGTAAGCTTCTTTTGAGTCATTTACGGTATAATTTCCTCAGTTTGAGACATTCTCCTTTCTTTTTCTCACTTAGTGAAATGTGTGCACCTTTTATGATCCAATTCTAACGTTACTGCCTGGTCTCTACCACCATCCTGGCTGCTCCGCCATGCACCCTGACGGCCCCTGCTCAGGGGTCTCACACCATCGCGACTCAACAATCATTTGGTGAATGCATGAATGAGTCCATAAACAAATGATGCTGTTGCTAGAGTCCCTTGAATCTTAGCTGCCACCTAGAAAATTATTTCTCAAACTGAGGTTTGTGGACCACGGGTGGCTCTTACATGCCTTCTTTGGAACCACGGTGTTGACTGTGCCTTGTACTGAGAAACACAGCATAGGCAAACCTAGAGGAAATTGTAATCAGATTTTCTGAGCACTCTTTCAATCATAGCATAACCTCCTCTAGACTTACTGACACTTCCACTGGAAAGAAACAAAACAGCACATTAACTTCTTGGCCTTTATAACCACACAGCAGCCTGAATGCCCAACACAGTTTCCTCGAGACCGGGGCGGGAGGGTCAGTGTCACTGCGTTAAGTGTGTGATAGGATATGAGTATTCAAAGCTCCAGGCTGGAGGTGCCTGCCTGCAGCCTCCCTGGTATTCCCCGCTGACGGGAACCTCACTTCTTGACGAATCCTACCTGCCGAAGGGCTGTTTCTATTTCCAGGAGGCTGACAGGCTTTAAAAACACATCTGAAATCATCAGCAGCCACCAGCTTATGATAATTAAAAAAACAAACAAACAACCACCACGTCACCCAATCAAAACTCTGATCCCTGGAGGCGAACGCTGTGGGGAGCACAGCCTGACTGTTGTGACATACATCGGGGGGCTCAGCCACCACTGAAGACGCATTTGGGGGACTTTAATACAGTGCTTAACATTCACTGGGCTCCTATTGTATGCCAGGCAATGGGCTCTATTGATATTATTCTAGTCCCTGCAATAACTCCAAGATGAAGTAAAATTGTCCTTTTTTTTTTTTTTTTTTTTTTTTTTTTTTACATAAGTGGGCACTGATTCTCCTAGAGGTGAAAAAAATAAATGAGTGGCCAGATGTCCCATAAGAGGAAAAACAGAGACAAGACTTACATCCTATTCATAATGACAAAGTTTATGTTCTTTTTACTGGTCACATGCTCTTTTAACAATGATAAAAATGATGACAACCTCTCTCCTCTCCTGCACTGTTAATCCTCTCTGAAAAGTTCACTTGTCCGCTGGGTTCATTTCCTACTTCCTGCTCTCTCCGTAATCTACTGCTGCCTGATGCTGGCCCTGCTATGGGTGGAACTGTGTCCCTGCATGATTTGCATGTTGAAGGCCTAACCCCCAATATGACTGTATTTGAAGATGTGGCCTTTAAGGAGATAAAGTTAAGTGAAGTCATAAGGGTGGGGCCCTAATCCAATACAACTGGTGTCTGTATAAGGGGGACCTGGGGTACACATGCACAGGGAAAGGCATGTGAAGACACAGCAAGGAGGCAGCCCCTGCAAGCCAATGGGAGAGGGGGGGACCTGGGGTACACATGCACAGGGAAAGGCATGTGCAGACACAGCAAGGAGGCAGCCCCTGCAAGCCAGTGGGACAGGGGTCGGGAGACCCCATCCTGCTGGCTCCTTGATTTTGGACGTCATGCCTCCAGAATGATGAGAGAAAACGTTCTGTTGTCTGAGCCAGCTGTCTATGGCATTTGGTTATGGCAGCCCGAGCAAATATCTCTCCCTGTATTCAAATGACACGTGATGCTAACAAAAGCAAGTCTTATTGTCTACCAAGTTTGCCCAGTGAGCGCTGGGTGGTTTGTTAGTCAATCATATTATATATTCTTTACAACTATTAAAAGAGTGATTATCATCCCTAATCTAAGGATGAGAAAACCGAGGCTTGGTGAGTCCAAGTGGCTTGCTCAAGGTCAGATGGCTAGTTACTCATGAAGCACAAGGATCGTTAGCACCCAAACGTCCAACCTTTTAAGCATTCTGCTGAGATTGCTAATAAAAACCACCACCTACCCTGGCTGGTTGGGCTCAGTAGTTACAGCATCGGCCCACAGACCAAAGATTTGTGGGTTCAATTCTAGTCAAGGGCACCTACCTCGGTTGCAGTTTGGTTCTGGCCCTGGCTGGGGTCATGCGGGAGGTGACTAGCCGATGTGTCTCTCTCATATGGATGTTTCTCTCTCTCTCTCACCATCCCAATCTATCTGAAGATAAATGAAAAAGTATCATCAGGTGAGGATTTAAAAAATAAAATAAAATAAATAAAAAATAAAAACCACCACCCTATAGAAAGCTTTTGCCCTAAGCCTGGCTGTGTATTACCTCACTCTAATACAGAGGACAATTCTGTGAGGGTCTGCTATTGCCCTTATTTTACAAAGAATAAACTGGGACTCAAAGAACTTGAACAACTTACTCAAGGTCACACAGCTAGTAAGTGACAGAGCTGGGATTTGATCCTTGGTTTTTCAACACTAAAGATTGTAAGTTTAGTCGACATGCTATTTGGGATAGTAACTGTTATATAATTTGG